TGGTGCCGAATGTACACAGTTCTTAAATACCTCCAGGGACAGTGACTCCACCACTGCCCTGGGCAGCCTGTGCCAATGCCTCCCCATTCTTTTCTAAGAAGTTTTTCTCAATATCTAATCTGAACTTCCCTTGGTGCAATGTGAGGCCACTACCTCTTGTCCTATTGCTGTTATCTGGGAGAAGATGTCAACTCCCACGTCATACAACCTGATTTCAGGGAGTTTTAGAGAATGGTAAGATCCTCTTTGAGCTTCCTCTTCTCTAAACAAAAAGAACTATCATGACAGATACTGGTAGGGAGGAGTGGGGAACAAGTGATGAAAGGAGTAAATAGCAGCTGCTAACCATCTGCTAAGCAGCTCTCTTTGAAGGACAACTGCTGTAATCATTTGCCACGTTTTCCCAGTTCCAGAAATACATACTGGGAAAAAAAACTGGGACATTCACTGACAACATTCATCTAGCTCCAAGCAATTAATGGGAGCCAAAATGTTATTGATTTATTCAGGTGAGTGGAGTTAAGAATATGGCAATGGATTTGGGATGAATACATTCAAGGATTTGTTCCATATAGATTTGGGAGGAATCATGTCTGTAGTAGCTCATTAGAGATTTGATTCAAAGACAGAGGAGCTGAAATTGAAGATAAGCTGAACCAGTAATAAGATGTAAGAAGGAATTGAGCAGGTTGGAATGAAGAGTATCACCTCAAAATATACTGATATTTGCAGCTTTCTCTGCTCTGTAAGATGTCGTGGGTTTTATTTCATTTTTCTGTCTCTTGGTTTATAGCTTTTCATTTTCTTCATCCTTAGGAAGCAAGCTCAAGGAAAGAATAATAGGATTATCTCTGATGTGACAAGGCAGTAGAATCCACAGAGCTGACAGCCAGCACCATTCTCACACCACCAAAGGGATTTATGACATTAAAAAGTAGGATTGTTCTAGATGGAAGAAAAACAGTGATTAAATAACCCTATTTATAAATAAAACACTCAGGAAGAGCTTTGTAAAGATACTTTTCCTTGCATGTCTTTCTGTAAATACTTTAAGCCTGTGGCAGTTCAGACTGAAAGAGTAGAAATGGCAAAACTAAGGTTCAAGCTGCGTGATTTATTGCGCCAGATCAGAATATCTACCTGCAGAACCCAGGCGGAGTGAAACTATGCTGAAGAGTAGGATGGATGAGAGGGTTTTAGACCTTTTAAGCTGACCATTAAATCCTTTCTGTAACTGAACCAAGTTGGTCTTTTTACAAGTCATAGAGATAATTAGCTAAATCCTACTGGATACAGAGTGGTTCACAGGATGTCTTCAGGGTCAGCCTTAAATTATCCACCATGGACTGACCTCAGGTTTTGCTATGCTGCATAAAAATCTATCACTGCCTCGTCTTCAGTGGGATTTGCAATGCTAACTATATCAGTGCAAAACAAATTTTATTAACATTTTAAAAGGAAAAACACAGCTAATGGAGCAAGGAAGGGAGGAGATACTTGCCTTTTCCCTAGCCTCCTATTAGTCAGTTTTACACTGGACCAAAATTGTCTTCTTTTTTTTACCTTTTTTTTTTTTTTTTTTTTTTTTTTTAAATTTGGAGAATGTTTCCTTTGTATCCACTTATTTTTTCACTTTCAGTAAAACTGATTTATTTACTTATTTATTTACTTATTTATTTGCTTAAGGGGAATACTAGAAAGAAAGAGTTGCTTTATTTAGCTTTGGAGTTGTCGATTACTTCTTGGCTTATTGACTTATTGTATGTTGAGTAATACATAACTCACCATGTCTGTGCATGAAGCATGTACTAAAAGTGATGCAAGAATTTTATAGTTCAGAGTTCAGTGAAGAATATTTGAACGAATGCATTTTACCATACTGTCGCATTACCCCATCAGGATGATAGAATCATGGGTTCATAGAATGATTTGAGTTGGACGGGCCCCATGAAGGCCATCTAGCCCAACTGCCCTGCAGTGAGCAGGGGCACCTACAGCTCCATCAGGCGCACAGAGTCCAGCCTGGCACTGAGTGTCTCCAGGGATGAGGCATCCATCATCTCTCTGGGCAACCTGTTCCAATGCCTCACTATCCTTATTCTAAAAACTTTTTTCCTTACATCCAATCTAAATTTCCCTTCTTTTAGTTTGGAACCATTTCCTCACATATGTATTCAGGTGACCATGGCCAACTGACTCATTATACCTCTATGTATGAAAGCCAATAAGCAATAAATGTCTCAGACAAGTTAACTAACCCTCATTATCTTCTCTACCTTCTAACTGAGATAACTATTGCTAGTATCACAAAATACTAAAAATAGCATTAAAATATTTTTTTTTTCCTTTATAACTTTGCAGCACTCTTGTGTTGCTCTACTTCTCATTCAAAGACATTCATTATGAAAAATTATTCAGCTACTGCATGGATGCAATTAGTTACAGAAAACACCAAACTCAGTTATTAATGCTAGCATCACTGTGGTTTGGAGCATCAGAAAAACTCTTATTGTCAGTTAAGTCTAGAATGATAAATAACAAACATAAATGTTCAAAAAATTAAACCATGTCATATGAACCTTAATGATATTTGACCTATTCTGTGACTTTTGTTTTGAAGCGTGAGTGGAGGAAAAAAATATTCTTATTTCCTTGTGTAGGAAACACGCTTCACCTGCCAAGCACTGTGCAGTGTGAGATGACATGCTGCTGAAATGTAATGTCAGAGGCACTCATCTGCTCTAAGAGGAAGTCGTAGAGAGAAACAGGAAAACAAAGGTGATGAGAAATTAGAATATTTTTCCTGCTGTCATTTATACTGTGTGCAGAAATGGCATGTTTAGAAAACAGGAAGTTTCTGTGGGAAAGAGGAGCTCTTGTTACTTGCTGGCAGCTACATAAAGTTTCCACCTTGACCAGTCACATACCAAACTACCTATTGTAAAATTGTGGAAAATGTTTGTAAAGTGCATGTCTGTCAGCTGGTCAATGGCCATCAGGAGTTAATGATGGCTATTCAACCTGCACGGCCTGATATCTCCCTTGAAACCATTTTCATCACTGTGGAGAATGAGATTTAACTCAATTATCTGACTAATCACTGCATTGGGTCTGAATACTGGTCTTGAGCTCTTCCCTGTAGGACAGAAGATGAGCTGAGATTTGCAGTATATCAAATTCATGAAGATTTTAACTACAAAACAGTCATTCCTTTCAGTTTTGATGATTTTTTTTTTTATGTCCTACCCTACTTTTTTTAATGTTTCAAATGTAATGAAGTCCTAAAACAAAACATATGATTTTATACCTAGTCTATTGTAGTAAATTTAAGATGTCTGGGAACATCTTCTGCCACTAACACTGATCAACATGATATAGCCCTTGATCATCCCACTGAGCTTATTTTCCCTGGAAAATGGATTTGTAATTTATACAGATTAGAATAGAGTATTATCAGGAGGAAATCCATCTCTAGTCATTTGCTGGTCTTATAAAAGTAGGACCTCATACTGATTCATCACAGCCCTTTGAAAAATCTATCCTATTATAGTCAAGAAATATTGCATTTTCTGCATATTTTCTGTATGTTTTATCACAACTTCGTAGGTAAATTTGCTGAAAATATATTCAGAAGAAGATGTTACTAGCAAAAAGTGATTCACAATGTACGTAAATCTGAACAGTGCTAGATTAACTTCAGTCTTTAAGCAAAGGAAGGAAAAAAACTGTATTTCTGTGTGCAGGCAGACTCCAGGAAAGTATCCACCTTCAGCTCTTAGCAAAAACACTGTCCCTGTTGATGCCTCAATGGGCTATTATCAGCTCCAACACAAATGGTGCTAATAATAAATTTTGGACTTACTTATGGGGAAAGTAACTCCATGGCTGAATTCCCATTGGTTTAATTAGTACTGGGATTTGTTTTTCTGGGTCTCGTTTAGGTAAAAATAACCAGTACTGGCAGTACTAATGGAAAATTTCCAAGGATCAATTAAAAACAAAAAGTAAAATTTTTAGGTTATCAATTGAATATATACTGTTTTTGTTTTTTTGGTTTTTTTTGGTAGATAGGTTTATGAGGAAAATTCAAAGGCAAGAAATATTCAGAAGATGAATGCTGGTAATGATAGAGGCTGAGAGAACAAATACGAATTAACGAAAGTTGCACATTCTTTGGCAAACTGCTTCCATGGAAATATTGTATAGAAAATAAATACAGCAGATATACTGCAGGTCACTCTGAACACACCCTCAGCCTCTGATCTGTTACGTACATATATGCCTAATTCATTTTCATCACTAGTATTTTCAGTGAGATTATTCAGAATTAATATTGCTGTAATTTCATTCTCTTTTTTTTCCCCCTCGGTTAATAAAACATGGGGTGATTTGCTTCTTTCAGTTGACTGCACATTCCCTCTCACCCTATGTTGACTCATTGCTTGTATCTCCCAATCTATTTTGAAAACAACTGCTATTAATGCAGTATCAGATGATTGAGTCTCTTCTGTTACCATGTTGTGAATTTGTTGTCTTCTTGGGGTAGTGAAGAGATAACTAAGGAATTAGAAAGTCACTATCCCGTGGGCTGTCATCAGCAAACTAAGGAATAATAGAGCAAAAGATAAGTCCTATCCTTTCATGTAAACCATCACAGAGGAGTTGGCCTTTTCTATCCAGTCCTACGTATTTTCTATCCTTTCCATTGGCATTCAGCCTGCTCTAGCAAAGCTACAGACAAAGTTCTGCTGCATGGTACAAGAGATGCTCACCTTTTTGGACTGAATTCAGGTTGTCCTTGCCACATGAACTACCCTTTATTTCTGTAGATATTTGCTGCAGATGGGACTTCTCTATAGCTTTGATCAGTCATGAATTCTCATCTACAATTTGGATTTTTTAATTCAGTGGAGTCACATGCCTCTTGTTAAAACTGGGCTATCACTGTGCTTTCTCCTAACCTCAACTGCTGTTGTTTTTATTATGTCAGTTTATCTTAGTATTCCATATGTGTAACAGAAATGATTATTTTTTCTGAACAAAAAGAATTTGATCCTCTGCTCCAGAAAATGCTTAAAAGAAAAATAAAGTTCTGCAATGTCATATTTCAGTGAGGCAAACAAGTATATGTTGTTTTCAAAATCCTTGTCTCCAAAGTGCAATATAATAGTTCTGTTTCTTTTGCTAAAACATTATTCATCTAAAGCAGTGTGTTTCACTGTAATGAGAGTATTTTGGTATTTGAACTTTTGTGTGATTCAAGGAAACAATGTGAATTCATATTGTTTTTAGCTGAAGATGGATACTTCCATTTACTTTCCACTGTATTATAGAATGGTTTGGGTTGGAAGGGACTTGTAAGACCATCTACTTCCAATCTCTTGCAAGGCAGGGACACCTCCCTCTAGACCAGGTTGTTCACAGCCCCATCCAGCCAGACTTTGAATGCTTCCAGGAAGGGAGTAATAACAGTCTCTCTGGGCAACCTGTTGCAGTGTGTCATCACCCTCACAGTAAAGAATTTCTTCCTAATATGTAGTCTAAATTTATCCTCTTCCAGTTTAAAACCATTTCCCCTTGTCCTGTAGGTACCTGCCTTTATAAAAAGTCCCTCCCCAGCTTTCCTTTTGGCCTCTTCAGATACTGGAAGGCCACTACAGGTTCCCTCCGGAGCCTTCTCTTCTCCAGACTGAGTAGTCCCAGCTCTCTCAGCCTGTCCTCACAGGAGAGGTGCTCCAGCCCTCTGGTCATCTTCATGGCCTTCCTCTGGACCTGCTCCAACAGCTCTATCTCCTTGTGTTGCAGACTCCAGAAATGGACACAGCACTCTAGCTGGGGTCTCACGAGAGCAGAGCAGAGGGGCAGAATCTCCTCCCTCGACCTGCTGCTCACACTTCTCTTGATGCAGCCCAAGATACAGTTGGCCTTCTAGGTTTCAAGCACACATTGACAACTCGTGTTGAGTCTTTCATCAATCAACATCTCCAAATGACTCTCAAGCCATTCTCCATCCAACCAGTATCTGTGCTTGGGATTGCTTGGGATCATAAAATTATTTTCCTTAATTCTTCTACAGAAAACAAAAACTTTCAGCAGTATTTCTGGAAATGTATTTAGGAAAAAAAAAGTATGATGGTTTTTTTGTCCGAGGGCTGCAGATTACATTTTGCTGCTTTACTGTAGGTAGTGCAATTATCTCAGATTCATGATAGTGTAAATAAGACCAGACTGTGGAATGGGATGAAGATTATTTCTGATTAGAAATAGTTTTGTCTGTCTGTTTGTCTGTTTATTTGTTTTTCCTTTAGCAGAGAAGGCTAAACAAAACCCATTCTGGAATCAGAAGGCAGAAAGACTTGAGGTAAGGCATTGATTTCTAGTGGCAGCAACAGAGCACTAGAAACCAAACTATTAACGAACATAGAAAATTTCTCAGGTGTTCTGTCTGTAATTCAGAATAGAATGTGTCCCCTGTAGAAGTAACGTGATTTCTTACAACAACTAAAAAAGTTACGTTTGTGGTAGGAATTCTTGACAGAGCAACTTTTTGTGCGTTTATGTGTTATTCTAGACTATACTATTTTACTATTTCCTCCTGGTTTGAAAATCCATTTATGCCTCATCAATGGGACTGCACTTATTTTGAAAGAGAAAAGGTCCAACTATGCTGGAACATTACATATCTGTTACTTACGGAGGCAAAGCTAATCCTTTAAATCTACAGAATGAGAAACATTATTCAGGATCTTGTATTTAAGCACATCTGGTTTGCAGAAGAAATGCATTGAAAACAGAGCTATAAGCATTTCAGAGGAAAAAAAAATCAAGAATTATGTCATATCACAGGATTTTTTTAATACTGTTCAAAAAGTACCTGACTCTACATATAAACACCAACTATAACATGATGTAGACAATTGAGAAACAGGCAAATGTATTTTTTCAATGCTAAAATAAATTACATTTGTACAGGTAGAAAGCAGAACCAAAGCTGATAAAAATGTTATATTTTATGAAAAATCATTTTCAGTTCACATCAAAATAATAACTTTACATTCTCTATTTTTTAATAGTATAAGCAGCAACAACATAAAAAAGAACAAATGCTCACAGAATGTTTGAAACCAGTTGTTCATAAGTTATTAGCAAATTAAAAAATAATAATAATTACAAGCACTTGTAGCCCACACAAATCTTTTAGAATTGGCACCGTCTCTCTAAAACATCTATATTCTATATAGATTTCTAATTACAAATACCACCAGCAGCTGCCATATAATCCTAATAGTACATGTAATATACATAGTATATTTGTTCCCATTTGGCAGATCAGAGTGACTTAATGATTCTTGTTTGTTTGTACTGTCATTACTGAGATAAGACAAAGCCAACCATATGCACCAATTCGTCACCTTGATGAACTTTTTACTTACCTTTATGCTTCACCGGGCTGTATCTTTTTTTCTGTTCACAGTATAAATTTGTAAGTGGCATTGCAGAGATTTGAACAGAGGTTATAAAAACAAACTATAGCAAAAAATGTGAATTTAGATAATTCAGCTGAAGTATTTAATAATTGCAGTGCACGCTGAAATGAGTGATTTTCTGGATCATGGAGAGTATTGACTTAGTTGATGAGATGCATGAAACCTTATAAATATTTGTGATCTGTTTCTTTTTTGGGGGGGCATGTTATCTCACATCCCTTAAGAGATTTAGTCAAAGAGCAGTTCTCCTTCTGGGATACCTGCTACAGTAGTACTGATAAAGAGGAACGGTTGGGAAGGTACCATTCGCCAAGCTTAGCAAGCTGCTTCAGGAATTAGCCTAACAAAATACATCTGCTGAAGGAAATGGGGAGAAAAATCTGTCTTTATCATTCTATGCTGAAGCAAACAGCCAAGATCTAGACATGGTTGGCCACTGTCAAGCTTATATTTTCTGGTATAAATCTGGAGTGATTCCACTGACCTCAGTAGGTTAAGGGCAAGTGCCAGCAAATGACTTCTGCACTTAAAGTTACACAGTATGATACCTGATTTTTTGTATAGTATCTGGCTCTGGCTCTTTGTTCAAGTCTAAGCTTATTGTGAAATTGGTAAGAAGAGCTTGGCACTCAGGAAAACAATGTGACAAGGGAATGGATGTCTGAAATTAGTTTCAAGCCAGTAGGGAAATGCATTTCTGCATTTTGTTTCAAAAGTGGGTTGCCCTTGTAAAAGGTGGCTGGAGGAAAACCAAATGAGTTCCTTTTTTTTCTTCTTCTTCTTTTTTTTTTTTCTTTCTTTTTTTTTTTTTTTCCCCTCCAGCAATTTCAGGGAAGAAGCAGAAAAACCAAGCTTAATTCCTTCACTTGTTGAGGAAGATTCAGAATCTCCCTTTGCATGGAGGAGCTCAGAACTTCGGGCGGAAGACAAGATGGTTGCAGACGCAGAGGTAAGGAAGGGCATATCCTCCCTTCCTATCACTAAAGCACTTTCCAGTGAAGTATTTAAGGATTTTTTGAGCCAATATATAGCTCAGAAGAAATGTTGGCTCCACTTCTTTGTAGCTGAAATAGTCACCCAATTCCTGCTTACAGGATATTAAAACTATTTAATTTTAAATTGTCATCTCAACTATATCAAATATCTCATACAGGTGAAGAGTAACACTTCCTTTTGCACCTTGAGATTCCTGAATGTTATTCTTGAACCTAAAGTTACCATAGTGAGATGAAGGTGCTCCAGTACACAGTCATTACAGCACTTTCCTGCTAGTAGGAAGATTTCAATCCCACCTGGCAGTGGAACGGTCTGAAGTTTGGACCTTCTGCTCAAGTGCTCTAACATCAAGGCTACTGTAAAAACAGCAGTGTAACAGCACTGACAGCCTCAAAACAAAAGATTATTTCTCCTCTATAGAGAGTGTGATCCTCTTGACATACATGCTGTAAGTTCTGTATACTTATGGCATATACAGGGATTCAAATTTAGGAACCACTGTTTTCTGGATTTCCAGTTGAGTTATACGCTAAGATATTTTGATGTGTCAAGATGAGGGCAACTCTGATCATCTGCAGAGACACAGTGTTGGTTGCCTGAGTGAACTGAGTTCCTTTTGAAAGGAGGTATTAAATTCTTCAGAAATCCTGACTTTAGACACCAAAGTTCTGTTCTGGGTCAGCTCTGACTTTGAACCCAACATTTTCTGTCTATCCCTTTCATGTTTTTCTTATCTCAACTCAGGAATGATTTATTAAATAGAGCAGCAAAGCTGTACACTTTCTTCTACAGAATTTACACTCACAATTATGCTGTTTTTCTGGCTTTTTTCTGTTTTTTTGGCTCTCTAAATAATACATTTCCAAGTGAACTCCACTGCTATCCAGAATCTCAATCGTGGACTGTCCTTTCTATTAAGTCTTTCTGGAGATTCTCCCACTTTTTTTTTTTAATCACAAATTTTTCCTTTTCCAAATGCAGAAACTGAATAAAATCCAAACAAGCTATTTATTTTTTATTTTAAAAGTTTTAACACATATTTTTTAATGACCAGTTAACTTTTAGTTTAGTTTCGTAGCTGAGAATCAAAAGAAGAAAACAGCATTTTGTGACCAACCAGACTCCCATGAAACATCAAGAAGTGCTTTTTAGACCATGATCTAAGAATCTCTAGTCTGAAGTATTTGTATTGATTTAGGCACCAAATGTTCAGAGAGAAGTACAAGGAAGCACATATCCAAATTAATGTAATCATTCTTCAGAGCTAATTGAAAAATATTGTTCTTTTACAGTATTGCTAGCACTTCTTCACAATGAGCCTGCCAGAGTGATTCACTTTATTTCGAAAGCATAGCTTCCAAAAATGCTTACACCTTTAATCTTCAGGGTTAGCCTCAAGCACAAAAGAAACAAGATCTCCTGAGATCCCTGTGGTCAAGAATGACAATGGATGCAACCTCTTGATATCCTTTCTGGCAGAACTAAACCATTATATACAATTTCAAGACATTTGGTACTGGAAAGTGTTTGCAATGGTAACCTTTGCTCTTATGGCTGAAAAACTGCAGTTATATCTTAATGTCTGTAAAGGAGAATAGCATATAAACAGCTTAATGAAATTATAATATCCCATAACATTCTTCTTTCTCGTATCAAGCCCTCTGGTTTCTTTTACAGGACTTTCCAGTCTGGCAAATCCCCCATGAGGCTTATTACTACTATGGTCATTACAGAAGAGTTCTCTCTGTCACCCAAAAACCTTGTAACGTAATGTTGTCACATTCCAGCCTGTACAATTAAAATATATTCTGCCTTCTTTATATCTTGCTAATGCTGACCTAACTTCTGCTGAAGATAGGCTGATAACTGAGAGGTACTATTGCAGCAGGTCTCGTCCTGGGTTCTTTTTGCCATTAAAAGTTTTGTTCTGGATGATGCACACAGAGGATGCATGACTCCTTCCAAAGTGAAAATAAGCAAGTGTTGGATAGTTTAACATTGTAGTTTTAGCCTCCAAAAACAGATGTTAAATTAAGTGTTTTGTGTATGTGTGTTTGCACACACAAGTGCATGAATATATCATCTTGGCAATATAGACAAAAGTCTTCAAGAATCTGAGCAATAGCTGTGGTCAGCATTGTGCAGAACTGCAATTTGGGAGTAGATGAGGTATGTTTATGCTGAGTCATGCTTTGACAGTTTCTCATTCCTTTCTACTCATTTTAAGATATTTCTACTGTTCATTATTTCACAGTGCAATGAAGCTCACAGATTTTAGCAGGTGTACATTAATATGCATCAACCAACATAAGAGTACAGAAATGAGTACCTGTAATGCTGAAGAAAGTTCATGTTAGAGGAGGATCTAATAATGATGTTGGTCAATAGCTTAAAGTATAAGAGAATGTATAGTAATAGAATCCCTTTGACATTCACATTTGTCTCATCACACTCCACACATATCAAAACAATATTGCACCAATGGGAAACATACATTATTATATAAATCTTCCAAGAACAATATTTAAGTGGTCTAAACTCGCTGAGTAAGAATACTTGTGCCATAGGCTGATTGGACATGCCCTTTCCTGAAATGTGGATTGTAGCCTGTGAAAGAAGATGCTTTCTCCTGAAGACATGTGCATCTAGTAAAGGATGAGACATGCTAGTACTATGAACCAGGAAGGTAACAGCAAGCTCCTGTCTGGAAACCTTACTGCTTCATAGAACTGAGTCTGTGCTAACCAGTTTTGAGAGTAGGCAAGAACTATATGTAAGAAAGAAGGACCTACAATCATAGCTTGGTGTATCTCCTGGAATAGAGCTGAGTTGTGACCTGCCTGATCATGCTACAGGCACAGCTAGTAAGTGACTGTAACTGGTAAAATAAACATGCCCATACACTTGATATTGGATAACACCAACTTGCACAAGGGTGTACAGGGTTCTTAGGGCATCTCTGCGAGTTGTGAGCCTGGTTTTGCTCATCTACACTCTTTTTTTAATGCTGTTTAAAAGCAAATTGCAGTGCAGCATAATGGTGAAATTAATAAAGGGAACAAAAAATGCTCTTTGCTAAAGTACGTGAATCACGCAGTATGCTTTCTTTTCTAAAATAAAATGTTTGTTATTTGGGGCATGGAGGAGAGAAAAGGGGTATGGATTTTTATTACAAAATATTAATTATTTTTGAAGAAATAAAATCTAAGCTTTTTGAAAATCAAGCACAGAAGCCTGTTTTTAAGACTCTTCCATTAAGCTGTCTTCTTATAAGGCTGTATCAACTCAACTTCGAACTGAAGTACATCACTCGTCACTTCATACTATCCTTAAATAAAATAAAACAAACCAATAAAAGTTTGGCACCCAAGGACAGCTGTCACAAAGGAGAGAGCCAACACAGTGTGCGTTTAGGGCCTGACTTATGTGCTCTACGTAACTACACCTATTAAAAAATTATTTAACTTCTATTCAAACTGTAAATCCCTTCCTTGCCTTTATTCAAAAGTGCCATGACAGTATGAAGTGCACTAAACTGTATTACCTTGATATAGGAAAAAATACCAGTAATCCCCTTGCTCTTCTGTGAGTTGCTAAGAAACACTGTTCGCTCATATCTCATTAGGCCTTCTCTGCTTTAACCTTTACTCTGTATTGCTTTGAAAGTCTTTTTTTTTTCTTTGTCACAGTTCATAGCTGCAAGGCATCGGCAGCTAAATAAAGTTAAAATTGTTGCTTATTAAAGAGTAGCTAAACCACCTCTAAGCAGATTTTTACAGTTTTTTTCTCTACATAGAAATTATGATTATGACAACCTTTCCATTGACAGTTAGCATTCATCATAATACAGATTGATCACTTAGAATACTGTCATTCAAAAACATGGAGAAAATCCTTACAGTGTTTACCTGTTCCTTGCGAGCAAAGACTAAGGGAGCCCGAATAAGTGTTATAACTGGCAATGTTAGCATAAGAACACCCATAAAAATGTGTTAATTTCAGTAGGGAATGCAGCTATGATATAGCTTGGTAGTGCTGCTAGAAAGAGAATATTCACCTCAACAACTTGCCCTGATAAGGGAATTACAAAACAGTACTCCAGAAAATATTTTTTTGCTACTTCATTATTAGTTGGCATCATGGTGAAATAGTCAGGAAATCTTCCTTGGGTTTTGTTGCTGTGAAGGTGAATCCAATGTTAACAAATTGATTTTTTTTATATACTGGTAGAAGAGAATTTCATAAACAAATGTGTAGGTTGAGAAGTCACTTGTAAAGCCCTCCGTATCGCAGTCACTCACTGCAAAGCCTCAGCTTAGTGTTATCCATGTGTAACGTATCACAGACACAATACGCTTCAGCAAAAAGTTTGATAGTTATTGAACATACATTGCTGCTTTTTGAGATCTTCATAGAAAAAAAAAGAAAACTTGATAGGTTGGTCCTAGATTTGAGTCTCTTAGAAAATGTACATTCAATGTTTGGTCTTCTATTCTTGATAAAAGATCAAGGTTCACTTCTGGGTAAGGAATCAGAGTAAACAAACAAACCACTGTACAGTTGTTTACAATCTTGTTCCCCCCCCATTCACATATTGTACACACAGTTCGTTGTAATACTAAAGCAAAGCACTTGGTATGTAACTGATTTAACAGACTCCTTATAAGCCCTCAAAAATAGATTCAGTGTTTTTGAAAAGCCCATGTTTTTTTAAGGCCACGATAATCTGCCAAGAGTCATTTTAGAACATCATCATTAATCTGATGTTTCCACTGATCAAGCAACTCCACTTCTTCCTCTGTTTCTCACAAGATGACCCAATGCCCCTCACTCTATCTGCGTAAACACTGGAGATCTTGAAGTCTTGGCTGTCCCCCCACTACTTGCTTGTAGTCATCGAGATCCAAAGTTGTCTTGAACTACATTCACAGCGAAGAAGAACTTTGAGTGTAATCTCTGATGAGGAGTGTGTCATACTTTGGGGAAGATGGGATACAGAGAGCTGATTCGGAAACCGGAGAGCTGGGAGATGCACTTCCAGAGTCGATGGAGTCTCTAAAAGGAGAAGGAGGAGTTAAAGCTACCAGCTCCTCAAGGTCTTGCTTTGCTGATGGGGTCTCTGCAGTGCCTTCTTTGACGCTGCCATTTGATTGTTTCCTAGCTGACTGGGAAGCGCCATTGACTTCAATGGAAGGAAGTGGCTGGATTTCTGCAAACGTGGTCATTGTTGTGGGGAGCTGGATTTCTCGTGGGATCAGGTATGAAGAGCAGAGAGGAGTGGCCACCATTGTCCCTGGAGTGGCTGTTGAAAGCATCATAGAGTTCAGCTCGCTGATGTTGGCTGTAAAACGAGTAACCACGCTACTGATCTGCTCCATGAGGGAGCCTTGCGAGGAGCTACTTCGCTGCGGAGGCTCGGACTGGAAGGTAGGGGCATCATCTTCTGTTCGGCTAACGGAGGCAGTTCTGTGGCTCACGGTGCTGATAGGCGAGGGAGTCTGCGGTCGGTACTGAGCTGGGTATTGCTCTTCTGCTTCTGAAACGTCGTAAAGCGTTTTGGCACTGGTCTCAGGAAATGTAGCGCTGCTACTATGTCGGCTACTATCTGTGCTTTTAGAAAAAGGCTTGATCACTGCAGTTTGATTGGGGTTTTCTTTTTTGTTGATGTGGATTGACAACCGCTGCCAAAGGTGCGCCCCTCTGCTGCTTTTCTCGTTCTGGGCCCAGGAAACTGATTTCCCATTAGAGCTGTAAATGGAAATGAGGTAAGATGGTAACTTGCATCAAAGTTAAAAACATAATCACTGAACCTATATCATGGATATGTGTCATCTTAGATCTTATATTCATTATATAGCTGAGTGTAATTTAGTCATCATATATCTATATCTAATCTATACCTATGTATGTCTGGCCATGCAGTATATCTACATCCAAGATTTATACCTAGAATTCTAGGTAAACAAGCAGAGTGGATTCACTGATTGCACAGGCCACTTGTGCATCAAACTGTGATAGCTGATGGCCACTGCTGTCTCCTCTGTTGCTGCCCTTGGGGCATAGGCAGTATCTGACCCAGGGGGCATAGGTGGTGTAGGGGAGTGAGCAACTTGATGGTTTCCCTTCTGTTGGATTGGTGACATCAGGGGGACTATGGGACTGAGGAATGAGTGGAAGAGTGAGGAAGAAGTAAATGCTTGAAGAGAATAGGTGTGAGACCTGGACTTGGAGACAACAATAAGCATTTTGGTCCATGCTCCTCTAAATTAATCCTCTTAGTGTCATTTCTCTTCAGATCATCGTGCCTCGCTTTTTGTCAAAGTTGTTTATTTTTCTACTCTTACTGATTAAGGAAAGTTCTCATGGAACAAAGCCAGTTGCAGCATCTATAAAAGCGCAGTATGCAATAGCTCCTTTCTTTTTGTGTATTCTTTAGGCTGATGAGCTGTTGATTGTACATACATTAACCTATAGTTCGTGGGATTAAGAAAGACCATTAACAATATTTCTTAGCTGAAATAGGCAATGACACTGAAATGATGTCTACAAGAAAAACATAACCTCCACATACAGATAAACATGCTTTATATATACAACACAACAGAACTTTAAACACTTTACTTTGATTTCTAAAATATTTGCAACAGCCATTTTAGATTTTTTGGAAATATGAGCACATTGGAGATGTTGATGAAGTGTCACAAATCAGTTCGTTTGCTTTTTCAGCCTGAAAGAGAAACACTCATACATGTTAGCCTGCTGTGAAACAGTTTTGCAAGACACACAGTTTATTCAACACAGATGACTTTATATCAGCCTTCATGTGGATGCTTGCCACATTCTATCAGTTTGATAGTTCTTCCAGGCATCTAAAAAAGATGTGTGCTGATAGTAAACAAAATCTTTTTGTTTTACACTGCATGGAATTACAATGGATCATGTAACACAACACATTCTTTTCCCTTCAAAAGTAGCATGACAAAGTCCAGCAGATGAAGACAATGTAAACCAGAGATATTTTAAGACAGGCTAGACTGAGAGATGAGTTACCCCTAAAATGCCAGACAGAAAACAGCTGATGGCTTGTTCATTGAGACACTCGTTTTGCTGTACCTCAATCAGAGCAAGGGGGAAAAGCAAAATTTATCCTATAGCACTGAGCACTTCAACTCTTTGCATCCTTATAGATGTGATTCTGAGCTGAATGGCAGCTGGGACTTATGTCTTTCAGAGGAAAGCTGATGCCTCTGAGGACTGTGTGCTTCTCTTACTAGCAGGTACTCTGTAAGTGCCAAGAGCCATTTGAGAGCCACAGCTCCTTGGCTATGCTTAGAACTGAGCTTCCTTTGGGAAATGAGGTCTTGCCTCTTTTTCTGGCATGATGATGGTGGAACTTCCCTTCACATCCTGCAGAGAGTGAGCTGGACCAGGAGGCTGGGACATCTGGCCCTCTTACCTTGACCTAGCAGAAGAGAGCCTAGTTCTGATCCTGGGTGTTCTGCTTGGTGGGGCCTCTTCTCCTGCTGAGCTCAGATCTCAGAGCTCAGAGGGGTTTGTGACAGACCTGTCTGCCATAGGGACAAAGTAAATTCTATTAACATGCAGAAGGTGTTGATAGAAACACTTGCTCAGAGAAAGTTGCACTTGGCTTTGCACCGCTTCCCACAAGCAGAATATTCTAGCTCTCCTCCGAAGTTCAGAGAGTGGCTCAGTAAGGAAGTTCAAACCCTATGGCTCCAGGTGTGCTCATGAGCACTAAAGCCTTGTAAGCATTTTCAGTTACCTGAAAGTCAGATTGTAAGAGGTTGTGAAAGGAACACACTCCTCCCTCCCTTATCTGGAGAAATGTGGAGGAAGTGTGATATGAGTCTGAGGAGCCTGGGGAAGGGAAAAGGATGATATTAAGGGATACATCCAGCTAACAGTTACATATTCAATAGAAAAGCTGTTACCAATCCCCTTAATCCCAGTTTGATTTTGAGACAGTCTTGATTTATGCATACGTTTACTGGCTCTGTGCTGTGCCCAAATGTAATCAAGCTGTGTATGGGGCTCTAAAAGAGAGCCTGGGGCCCTAAAGGAGACCTAAAGGTTGTTTGATGTAAATTTTGGACAAAAGCCTGAAAGATTTGACCACTATTCATTGCAAATTCCTTGATATTAAAAAAAAAAAGAAAAAAAAAAGAAAGAAAAAAGGAAACCTAAATAGGGAGCAAACAGCAATTTATCCATAAAAATTGAAACATTGAAACCAGTGGTTAAAATTCCATCAGTTTGCCCAAAAATAATCGGAATTATAAATGTATCATCCCATTCATCATGCTAAACTATTTATTACACATCAGCACTCAAGTAAGGCATGTGATCATTTATCAGCTGTGTGAAAGGAGCATCATTTGTCTTCATATATTGGCTGGGTTAGAGGTAAATTTCAGGGGCAGTACTTTGAGATTCTGCTTTAGCTGCATGCTGTTACTCTCTCAACTGAAAACCACTGCAATGCACACAAATTAAAAACAGAGGTATAAAGGTACATTAGGGACATAGACTTTGATGCCTGCTAATGGAATATCACAACAAAGTGTTTACATTTATTATGACCAGCTGTTCCATGTCCCTTTGAGAGATGGGAAATTATATATCAGTAAATATTTAGAGGTTTCTTGTAAAGAGATTTTATCTCCCTCAGCTGAAAACAGCAGAATTACACTCTCATGCTCACAAAAGAATTCCACTGCTAAGTCTGGCTGAATACAGGACGTATTTCTCTGCTCTGTCCTTCCTGTTGGCACAACCCTGGAGCAGAGCAGAGGTCAAGCCAAATCTGGAGATAAGCAAACTCCAATTGGTGATACAATTTCCAAACCAAAACGTTGGCAACATATATATATATATAGTAATATCTTTTGTGTGGTGTATTTTTTCATTGCCTTCACAATGGGTTAATTAGGCTGTTTTATGTAAAAGAGGGATTTCCTCAGAACTAGACATAGTCATTATTTTTCCTGTCTCTTGACTAAAAGCTGCTTTGATTTTGGTAGCTAAGCTTTTTTTTCAGCTTGCCAGACCTACCACAGTATAGCACGTAGAAGAAAGTGGTATAAATGAGAGCTTTCAAATATTCCAGATATTTCCTCTGTAGTTGTACACTGCTGACAGAATAACAATTAGTACTCTTTCTCATTTCCTCCCTTCCTTTCATAGTCATTTATGTTTTAGGGCTCTGTTGTGTATTCATAAGGGATATTAACTGCTTCTTATCCCCTGAGGTGATAAGAAAAATGTTCCTCTCTTATATATTTGTTTATTTTCTTTTCTTCTTCTTATTTTCCTATCCATCTGGAATAGATTGCTTTTTTCCTTTGTTTTTAAATTTTGTTTCAGACTTATTGCCCTGTGATGTGATTGTGAGACTGTGCACAGCTCTGCCACCAGGGTTTCTTTAGCCAGCTGCCATTACAGCAACTGCATTTTTTAACCCCTGCAAAATGCAGAAGAAAGGGACCATAGTATCACAGAATGGCCTGGGTTGAAAAGGACCACAATGACCATCTAGTTTCAACCCCCCTGCTATGTGCAGGGTCGCCAACCATCAGACCAGGCTGCGCAGAGCCACGTCCAGCCTGGCCTTGAATGCCTCCAGGGATGGGAATCAGAAAGAGGAACTGACAGTCACAGCAGCTGAAAAACCTGATATTCTAATAAATCTGCCATTCTTATTAATTACATGAAGCTGTTAAGATTAATTCTGATGAAGAGTTCCCAGTAACTGGCATTTGGATAACTACTGAAACAGTAGGTAATTTGAAAATAAGTCACTTATTCTCTTTTAAATAAGTTTAAATGAAATAGCCAAATCAGTTATGGAATTTAGTATGGTCTGAGTGAGCTTAGAAAGCATATCTACAGATTTTCCATCAGTGGAAACTAGAATACAAAGGGAGTCAACAGAGTTTAAAACAAAAATATAAGGGAAAATTTATTCTCTGTTGTATAAGAAATGTTAGTATCTGATTCCAGATTTGAATAGGTGCAGCTAGTCAAAAGATACTGGTCAAAAACTCTGTGGAGACCTGTACGACCAGAATGGAACCTATGCTGACATTAATATGATAAATAATTAGTTAAAATTATTTTCCTTATAAGTCCAAAGGTTAAAGTTCATGTTTCAGAACATTCATTGGTCTAATTTTTTGAGCTAAATTTGCTAGCAATGTTGTGCTTAGATATTTCAATGGCTGAAGTAAAGTGTTGCATTCCAACTTGAAGCAATGTCTTGTTTTTTATGAAGCTGAGGTAGAAAAGGTATAACTTCAATATGGTGCAGAGCAAGATGGTTTATTAAGAACTACATTATTCTATGCCTTTTCTGCAGAAGCATCTGGCAGAGATAAGGAGGATAAACTACTGTACTTAGTCCGTGCAGCTTTCTGGCAAGGAGAAGTCTTGTTATTGGAAATAAATACTTGCAGTAAGAAGAAGCCATAGTCCTTCTCGAGTTCTCTGATGAAACCTTATTAAGGACTCAATGATACAATTACTCTGTCTAAGAAGGATTTACTGAAATCTTAGAATGGTTTGGATGGGAAGGGACCTTAAAGCCCCTGCCATGGGCTGATTGCTGCCCACCAGCTCAGGCTGCCTGGGACCCATCCAACCTGTCATTGAGCCAGAGTGGTTTTAGTTGGAAGGACCTTTAAAGGGCATCTAGTCCAACTTCCAAAGAAAGGAAGATAAATGGCTGAAACTGAGTGCAGAAATGTAAGGTAGATAAACTAGTTCTGTTCTAACACAATAGCGATTTATAGTGTTTCCTTTTTTATTATAAATAGCTTTAGAGGAAATCTCTACATGCCTATACAATTGTTTCCCTGGGTGTAAGACGGTTTTGCCATGCAGAAATATTACTTGGATCATTTAGCTTAAGTTATTCCCATACTATTTGTTCTCTGGAGATAAATAACAGTAAAACACAAAGGAGGAATGATTCAGGGTAAAAACTCATTTTGTCCTGATCTGAGTTCCATAAGTAAACATCTTTTGCAATTACATTGCAAACAAAAGCAATTGCTTTTCTATTAACAACAGCAAGGGCATTTACTAATATTACTCCCTGGAGTGTAATCAGTCATCACCTCCTTACCCTATGGAAATCACAGCTGGCATTTGCAAGAATGACTTTAATCTATGAGGATGAAAGGGACTGCTGACAGACAGAAACTTTGCCAACAACCTCCTAGCACAGCCACCAGTGACACCAACACTGAGAGCTTTCAGCAGTGCCTGGATAGAATGGGGGAAATTGAAGTGTTGGTATCTGAAGGAAATACTTCTGGGATTCTGTGACAATCTCCTAAAACTGAAGTGGGAAAAAACAGTGATGTAGAATGCAGTAACTTCTCTTAATCAGAAACTGCTTTTCAAAGCATCATGCTGGGTACCCATTAATTGTGTTTTGTTACTTTTCATCTTAAATTCCTAGCTATCTGTAAGACATCTATATAGGGATCATTAGACCGCAACGTGAAAAATATCCACACTAAGGTTGGAACATCAAAATAATATTACATTGGGGATTGAGCACATGAGCTGAAAAATCCTATCCAGTTGAAGCTGTACAGCCCTCTTTAGGCTAAAAGGATGTAACTGGGATTCGCTCAGCATCATGGGACTTCTTTATTAGCTTTACAGTACAAGGGAGAAAAGATGACACAATCTTTTCATTTTCCATATCACGGAATGGGTTGGGTCAGAAGGGAATTCAAATAGGTGGTCAGGTGGCTGAATCAGCACTTCATCACAGTGACGCCCAGCACTGGCCTGGTACTTACAGACACAGACAGAAAAATGGCACCTACTTCCCTTCCTGCAACATCTTTGCTCCCTGGGAAGCTCCCAGGCTATGCAGTGACAAATCTGCTTAGCTCACAAAATAGGACAGGACCACTAGCCAGGACACTGTGGCTGGAGACAACAAGACACAGCCATCAAATGCAATTGCACTCTCTGTGAAGCAGTTGGTGTTCTTAACTGTTTGAGTAGGTCTTGCAGCTGACAGTCTTGCTGTGGCACTATTAGACTGACACAGTTTCCAGTCTTTTTGCCTGTTAGGGCATCCTCTTTAACAGGAACCTCTTTCTCATCTCTACTTGACTCAGATCGATTACATTCTGGAATGCAAACAGATTCTTCACTGTGAAGATACAAAATATAAAAAAGAAGTTTTTCAAGTGTATATATATATGGCTGGGCAAACAGAGCTGAATACTGTACAACGACATACAGCTGTTTGACATTTACATGTACGTTTCTGCTCTTCATAATTCTCTTATATAGCAACTCCAGATAGCTTGAAAAGGAAGAATAATTATCACCAAATGCAATGGAATGTAGGAAAAAGATAAAAATTTGGACATCACATAGACAAGAAACAGAATCCCGGCTGACAAAGAAGTAACAGGTGTGTATACATTTGGTGCACCACTCAGCAGCAAGCATTCCTGATGTTACCTAAGTGGCAGAGTCCCCCAGGTGTGTGCTCAGCAGCATTATAGCTGAGAGCCTTGTGTAGATGAGTGGATTTCAGTACCCAAAGGGGACACAACACGGTGAGAGTATTTCACTGAACACCCTCCTGCAGTGATAAAATCCACCTGTGATGCAACACTCGGGGAAAGTAAAGGTGTAATTTAGTCTTGTTGTGCTCTATGGCTGCATTTACAAAAACCTTACAGGGGATGATAAGGATCTTTTAATAAATAGTAAAGCAAATGTTTCTAACTTGCTGTAGAGTGCAACACAGTCGTAAAATGCTTTTTAAGAGTAATTATACCCTTAGATTTTTAATCAACTGTGGTACATAGGATTTTCTGTCCTATGGGAGAATCCAGCATTTGGAAATCTGATTGGATTCAACATGAGATGAACAATTCAAATATTCAAACATTTCACAGAATTAAAGTGAACTGTTTGAAATACTTGGTTGCAAAAACCTTAAAAAGTGTCCTTATTAAGACAGTTAATCCCAGGAACAGTTAAAAATATAGTTCATAATACTAATTAAAATCATAACATTGATACATAATGTTGTGCATTATATAATGTCTGAAACAAAAAGAAATATCCAAATTAGATGCAATGGAGAAAGTTCTAAAAGATGTTCTGAGCTCTATTTAAAATGATTTTGAAACCTTTCCTTAAAACCACTGTGAAACTTAACACTTTCCTACAAGACATTTTGACTAAGAACCAACGTTTTCATATTAGAATGCTTTCATTTATCTTTTTTTTTTTTTTCTTTCTATTTTTATGCAGTCTTTTGATTAGACACAAAATGCAGCCTCTATTCCCAAGGAGCTATGGAGCTTCTCACTCAGTGTTTAAGCGCTGTCTCTCTTTCCCTGCCCTACTGGGTTAATGTCAGGTGTAAAGTTTCTCCTTCCCAAAGCACCATATTATGACAACATCACACAGGACATGTGGTTTGCATCACTCAAATGAACACAGTGCAGGTTTTCTGTTTTTTTGTTTTGTTTTGGTTTGGTTTTTTTTGTTTTGTTTTTTTCCAGTTAGATGAAACACAGAAATCAGCAGTGGCCATGTGTTTTATTTTAGAGATGTATATTTTTTCTAGACATACTATATGGGATGCACAGGAATTACAGAGAGGATCTGGGCTGGCACTGTCCCAGGGCTGCTCCCCTTGTTCACAAACATATCACACTGACCTAAGGCCACTTGCTGTTAGCTTACCTGGTCATTGTAGCTCTCCCACCATTCCCCATACTCCCTTTTGGGGTGAAACACTCTATTTCCGACTTGTGCGGGGCCAGTCTCCTGCCTTTGTACCTAATAAATCACGACAACAACAGGAGCAAACAGAAAGAAGTGATTGTGTGCTCAGCTTTCTCTGACAGCTGCTGTGCAAAGGGCCATGCACATGAAAGTTACTGTGGCAGTGGTGGGGTACAGTGCAAAGCAGCTGTGGGAGCAGTGGAGTAGTGGCGTAAAACCGCAGGACTATGCTCAAGCAAACAGTGCTATGCAGGAGAGGTGCTCACCATTTATTCATATATATACACGTAGGTTGAGCTAAAAAATTCTATAGAATAACACAGTAACCTTTAGCGATTTGGGGAGTAAGACCAAAATGTGAAGGCCAAACAGTTTAAGCCAAACAACACTATAATTAAGGAGCAGTGAGAAACCAACTGGTGGCCATCTTCTCAATCCTAACTTCATCTCTTTCTCTGACACTCCACATCTGTAATACTTGACTTGTTCCTCAGCTTGACAAAGCAAGCACCAACATTGTTGACCACTTGGGTAAAATTTGGTTGGGTTCACTGTTCATTTATTGAAAGGGCCTTTTTCTTTCCATTCGCAATAAAAATGACTGGCGGGGGCGTAGACATGAAGTCAAGTGGAAGCAATCCCAACGCTAGAGCCCAGTGCAGTACTGTGAGCATCTTAAATACCATACCTGGAAAGAGGATAAAAAATTACTCGGATAAACAGTTTATTCCTTGAGGATTTAACTAATCCCCTGACAGGATACTAGGATAAGACTTGGTCAGCTCTGAACACCTACATGGGATGTGGGCTTTGAAGAGATCTTATACTGGCTCTCTTCCCAGTGATGACTTACGCCCTAATTGTGAAAATTCCTGTGCTGTGTGTTGAAATATCTATTCAAATGCTTGAATAAAATTTGTGCAAAATGCGTGCAGCAGATCATTTCTCAAATGCTTGCTTGTGATATTCCATTCCTATCTACTCTAAGTTACATCACTGGTATCTAAGAAAATTCTGAAGGAGAAGTCTGTTAATTTTAACACTGCATGACAGACTAAATGGATTGTTTATTGCTTGTCCTTTAACCTGAACTAGAGAGAAAAAATATATCTCTAAGACAACAATTCTGTAAAAGAGAAATAATTTGAGTGAACACAAAGGTGGATGCAGTTATAGTAGATCTTCAAAGGTAGTGCAGATTGTATAAATAACTGAGGAAGAAGCTTAGTGAACTTGAGAGTGAATTGGAGACAGTAAAATAAGATGTGCTCAGTGCAGAGGAGTATTTTCATTTACAAATTATAGCCTTACTGAAAGAAGGAACAACTGGAGCTTTGCAGACTGGCTACCAAAGGTTTAAAGTCAATCCACAGGGCAGTATGTGCCATGTTCCCAAACAGGCATGAAGCTCACGCAGGACAAATGTGTATTAAATGAAAGTCGATTCCTAGGGTAGAGGAAAAAGCAGAAGGGCTTACAGAGTAGATAAATTCTCTGAAAAATACAAAAGAAATCAAACTGGATCATACAAATTTATTTGGGGCAGCAAGAGAAAAGGAGAAAAGAAAGAAGAATGTGTGGAAATTTCACAGAAAAGAAAATGAGATAAAGTTGGTATGGAGGTGTTAGATGTCAAAGAATGTAGAGTTTAGAGAGAAAACAGTTACTTTTAGACCTGATAACCAGAAGAGGCACTTTGTACCCAAGAAACAGAAGAAGAAAAAGTCTAAGAGAAGGAATTTGGAGATCCTAAATGCTCACAATAAGTTGAATTCCAAAAAGTAGCTATCAGAAGAAAAGAAAGAGGTGAAGTTTCCTTGGCAACTTTGTTCTGAAGAACGTTTGGTTAGGATGCTTGTGACACAGATAAAGAAAATGCTCCATTCCCTAGCTATCACTATATATTTCATTGCCCTGCAAGTCAGCAGAACGGATCTCAGAGAGATTGCTATGAATCTCTCAAGTTTTGCCATCCACTCAAGAGCAAAAGAACCATCAGAAAAAGCACGCTACTCTTAGACTGCCCTAGTAGTAACTACTCCATGGCCATTCATTCAGTGCTAAACATCCACATAATTATGAAAAAAGTAACAAGCTTTAATAAACCCTCCAACTGTGGAACATGCATTTAACCTGTGAAGGGTTCTTAGTGTAATCAGACTGGAAAGGCAAAGGGTTCAGCATAAAAAAAGGTTTTCAAAATTCAGAATATGTAAAGGTTATGATTTACCTCAGAATGTCTTGTATTTCAAAAAAGTCAAGATACTTTTCCCTCTTTGCTGTTAAAACAGAGGATAGCTATAAATTATTTAATATGCAAAGAAAATATTAAAAACAAGCTAACAACAACAACAAAACCCAACCAACCCTTAAACTTTTATTTTCATTTACCATTAAAAAAAGTTAAGATTATAATAATTTTGCATTTCACCTGGAGAATGGAGGAGACATAAACAGATTTCTTTCCTTAGAATCAGTTCTGTGACTGTGTACTGGTTGGAAAAAAGAGAGAAAACTATGCATCAGGACACAGTGTGACTAAAGAGCAAATGTAATGTAAAAGCCAGTGTAACGATTCTGTTGAAGGCTTTGAAAAGTTCTGAGTTTATTTTTCAGACTTTGTTTTTGTATTCATTTATTATTTTAGCATCTGGGTAACGATCTGCAAGCTGTTTCATTCTTGGGCTGGGAGAAATCATGTCTGTGCTGGGATTTCCCTATACTAGAAGAAAACACCAACACAACTGCTTAGATTTCAGGGATTATTGCATCTTTTCCTTGCTGCCTCCAACTTCTATGAAAGGACTTTTCATAGACCAAATTAATAGATTCTATTGAGGAATAAGAACAGAATCACTCTTAATGACACCAATAATAATCCATTACAATACTTTAGACATCAGTTTTACATTTCTTCATTTGTAAATCCTTGCTTTTCATTTCACCTCCACTGAAGTTGTGGGCTCCACTACAAACAAGTGCTGATACTTTTCAAATATGGAAATTTTTAGAGTATGTCTTCACTGTAAAGCGTGGTGCTGGCATCCTGGTGATTCTGAAGTGACTTTAGGCTGAAACCCAGTGGTTACGTCACCTCCACACTCATATCCTTTGAAAGGGTCTTGGAAAGGATCAATTTCATAAGGTGGTACGTAAGTTAATTAGAGGACGTTAGAGGACCAGACCTGAGAAAAGTGCCATATCTGAAATTTCTGTATAGTTTCGTCAAAGACTTAACCAAATCATTGAAAAAGTACTCTAGTCTCTGTAAATGTGAGTGGTAGTAAAATATCTACACTACACTGACTGGGAAAGATTACACAAAAGACAAGCGGTTCCAATAGCAAAAAGTAGGTTTTCACATAATATGATCTCTGAAAATAAATCCCAGCAATTAGAAACTGGCTTTTACCCTTACGCATAAGATTTTTTTCTCTCTCTCTCTTAATTTTTTATTTTTTATTTATTTATTTTTTTTTTTTCAGTAAAAACTAAGAAGTTAAACTAAATAAAATATATCTTAGGGTATCTTTGGTTTTTGAATGAAATGCCAAGCAAGTTTGTTGTGTAAGACATGGAGATGTCCAGCACTTCAGTTCAGTACTTCAAATGCAACCTCACACTGATATGCAGAAATTTAATTATTTATTGAGTACCAAATGTTACTTGGTACTCTTCAGATCTGAAAGGAGTAGCTTTGATGAGCAGGCTTTTTCTACTGCAAAGTAGGAGTAGTACCTTCACAAAACTGTGCCTTGGTACCTTGCAGGAGTGGTGAAAATGACATTTCCATGAGAACACTTAACAGGACAGAGGATATTTAGAAAAATCTTACTGTGGGACAAGGGCTAATCCTGGGGACATAAATTCAGCATTGTACTGACTAATTTCTGAGACCCTTGTGAGTTAATAAGATTCTGGTTTTTTTTTGTTTGAGATACTGAATGCAATGATATCTGAGATTATTTCCAAATCATGCATTTCCCTATAAGTTAACAGTAAACAAAACAGGAAACATTTATTAATTCAATCTCAAAGTTCTCATTTTCTCCATTTGGAAATGAAAATAAATAAATCTGTAAAAAGGGAATTTAATGCTGGAGAGAGAGGAGAGGAGAGGAGAGGAGAGGAGAGGAGAGGAGAGGAGAGGAGAGGAGAGGAGAGGAGAGGAGAGGAGAGGAGAGGAGAGGAGAGGAGAGGAGAGGAGAGGAGAGGAGAGGAGAGGAGAGGAGAGGAGAAGGGATTCAGAAAACTTTACAGTACATGGATGAAATATCATCTCTTTGCCCTCCATTGCTTTTACTCAGTGTGCTTGTCTTGGAACTTGTCTTTTCAATATGCTTTATGTTTGGAACTTGTACACTTGTAACACTCAAACTGCTTGGTATTTCAAAGCTGACCACCTTTCCAGGCTGTTATGTCAGATTTTATGTGCAAGTAGTATTTTTCACCAGCACAATTACTTGGTCTTGATATTAAGAAATGATGAATATCTTGCATTTCATAGGAGCAGAATTGGGGCTGACCTTTAGACTAATTAAAGCAATATGTGCATGAAGATTTCTGCATAAATGAATGAAGAATGGACTATGAGGAATATTTAGCATTGTTACTGCAAAGAGTGTTTTGAACTGCAAATATATTGTGTTTTGAAAATCAGTTAGTTATACAAGGCTGGTCATTCTATTTTGATATAGCATTCCATTGCCCTGAATACTTTTAAAGAGGTCTCAGCTAGTTATGGATATTTTTCCATTTATGTAATTGTTAAATTATATATCATTAAGTAGGGAAATTTAAAATTGTTTCTTTTAAAAAAATCAGCATATAAACATTGCTTGCCTAATAGCAAAATTCCATCAAACAAATCCTCTTAAAGCAAATGCATAATTAGTTTCTGCAGTCTATTTTTTTAAAAACTATTTTTCTTCGCTTTACAATTTTTTTTAAACAATTTATTTTAATTAAACAATCATATGTAACTGCAACTGGTAGGTTCAAACTACCTTTTTGATGGCATGTTATGCAAAGCATTATACTGTATCAAGGAAAGAAGAGTAGACCCATAGCACAATATTGCTGGTGTGTTTATCTACGTTATTCCAAAAGAGGCATGATGTTGGACAAAGACTGCTGTAAGATTTTTGCACATTACCATCTTATTTACATGAAATGTTGCTCTGCCTGGCTTATTCACTATTTTGAATTACTGTTCTTTCTTTTGCAGGTTTATGCAACTACAGATGCCATGGGAAGGTCTCACTACTTTATTCATCACTTCATTCATTATACTGAATAGGGAAGTTACATTTCGTTTGCTCTGAAGTGTCTTAAATGTTAGAAACTTCTTTAGGTTTGTAAAATGGATGGATGGGGCTGTGTCTTGACTTGGATTTGATTTCGATGTGACATTTTCCAAATTTGTTGTCTTATAAGAAAGAGGTTTCTCAAACTGTCTCTTTTCTGCTACCTCATTATTGAATTGTGAACTGTAAAATGATTTAATTTTTTGGCAGTGTATAATTGTGTTCTAAGTCTTAAACTGCCAGCACTTTGGATAATTACTGCATCATATAATGCTATGACCAAAACTACAGCAAAGTTAAAGTGTTGTTGGTTTTATATATTTTAGCAGACTCTTGGCTATATTATAATTCATACAGGCATTTACATACGAGTAGGCCAGGTCATGTCTTGTCTAGACCTTGTAAGGAGACTAGATATCTTAGTCTTTTTGTGATAGAATCACAGAATGGCTTGGGTTGGCATGGACCTCAAGGATTATCCAGCTCCAGCCCCTCCATTGCAGGCAGGGCTGCCAACCTGCACATTTAATACTGGAATTTTCATAATAAATAAAATGCCAGTTCATATCAAAGTATGCTCTGGAAAGAAGCAGAAGTTGGTTTGGTAGAAAAATCTCTACTCTGACCAGATGGTAGTCTGCAACAGGATTTACATCCTGTTGTGTAAAGACAACAGAACACATGTGTGTATGCATACAAAATGGACATAAGGAAATTTGAATGGCTTGTCTGGACACTCTTTAGTGTGATGGGTAAGAGAAATATTGATACAGTGTGTGTTGTCATTTATTTGTCACAACAATTTCAGGAGACAGGTTGGAGGATGAAAATCAAGGTAAGAAAGATAGACACTACTGTTAAAAAATCTACTACCAAACTGCTGGCCCCATCATTACTGTTCCTTCCTTTCCTTTCCTTTTTTTTTTTTTTTTTTGTATTACACTAACAAGATTGCATTTTTCCATCTAGAGCATATTTGGGCAAGAGTAGACAGGGAACTGTTTACAATGTAAATTTGTTTGAACAGTTCAGCTATAGGATTTGATTCAAAATGATGGAGACACTGTCTTATACAAATAAATCAAAAAATTAAGCTTGAATACATGAGCTCAGTCAATGCAGCCAAACAATTTATATCAATCAATCATTATTTTAATTAAATTTGAGGGGAAAAATTCAAAACAACAACACTAACACTGCACACATTAAAATTCATTGTGATCAGGGCAGTCAAGAATATAAATTCATTGTACAGAGGGAATATTTTAGCAACAATTCATCAAAATCTTTCATACCTAATAACTTTCACTAAGTTACATTAAATATTCTTCAGTCATTTCACAATATTTGAAGTTTAATTAATCACAGCATCAAGCTTGTCTGAAAAAACACCAGGAGCAGTTTATCTAGAGAAAAATGAAGGACTTAAACAATTCAGCAACCTCACAATCCACGTTTTGTAGCATATTAGGTTTAGATAGCTCAGAATGTTTCCCTTGGGAGCTGGTTAGTTAATAAATGTAGACTAATCTGTCAAAAGGATAATGACTTCCCCTGAAGAATCAAAGACTTTTTCCTGCATGCATCAAAATTATTTTTTAGCAAGGCCATGAAGCAAACAACTTATATCTTGTATCACTTTGCTTACATTTCTGAATAAGAAAAATTCTCTTTGAGGCAGACATTCCGCTCATCTCAATTGCTACCTTCTCTAGTGGCATTATATTGTGTAAGAGATTTACTCCTCAACTTTTTTTGTGCAATTTTATAGTACAAAGTCATCCAAACACCTCTGAGCAATTTGTAGTTCATGGTCCCATTGAAACAACACGTATAGGAGTTAATTTTTAACAGAGGGGATTTTTTTGGTACATGATAATCTCTCAGTGACTTCTTTTGCTTCATGGTAATCTTTACTTCCCTCTTTTTGTAGCACTTTTACTTTTCACCTTTCAGTGGGATTTATGATGCCGAGACGAGCAATGGCTAAATGCTGGTCACTGTTAAAAGTTTAGAGATGGTGCACGCCATATCTGTAATGCAACTTCTTAAGCATGAGTTCTCCTAAATCACACTGTTTACTCATCCCCTGTTTAGATGCACTCCACTCCCCCAAGAGCTAATATAAATAATTAAGTTGTCAAGAAATGATTTGCCTGTTCTATAAAACTTCAAGATTTCAAAAAACGTCATTGCCTCTCTCCACTTTAAAATTTTTGTTTGTTTGTTTTTGTTTGTTTCAGTAAGATAAAATGAGAACTGTAAAAGATTTTTTACTGTAAAGTTAGTATAAAAATTTGATGGATGTTACACTTATAAGACAAAACAGACCCAGGGTGGTCATTGTCTGACATAGATAATCACTGTTCTTTCCAACAGGCTGGAAAACAACTTTCTGCCTTCACTGATCAGTTGTTTTATACAAGCCAGAATGGCTCCACTGGGCTTCAAGAGGAAAGCAATCCATCCTGACCTAGCTGACAGACTGTTAATATAGCTTGTTATGAGCTGTGGTATACCTGTCATGAATTCAACATCATGAGGTTATCACCTCTGTTATGCTCTAAAGTTCCAGAGTTAAACAATGCAACCACTTGCACTGCTTGCACTAAGAGGTATCTAGCAATTTGGCTGTGAATATTGCTGAGTATGAACTCATAACCCCTGCCCTGCTGAAGCACAAGTACAGAGATTCTCATATGAGTTTGGAGGAAAACTGTGGCATTCTTTCTATCGTTATTCAAAATGTGTAGAAGAAATGGCTCGTGCTGCATATAAATGAAGACAAAATTGGCACTTGTACAGTAAGAAATGTGTCCGCATAGAATATGCAGTGGCAGGAACTCACAATCAGTATCTTTCTCAATGACAGCATACTTAAATGCCAGCCAGCTCCAGCTTTCAGCAAACTCCCCCCATCTTTCTTTTACACTGCTGTCACAGGCTGGTAGGCCCCCTGGGACAACCCTGTCTTCTTTACAGCATTATTTGCTCTGTGTCAAGTAACCACTTTGTTTCATTTCTCAGAATGCTTTCCCTCTTGAGGTATTATTTTGCATATTTATGCCAGAATTCCTTTGCATGTTTGCATACACATATTATAAAATCATTTCATTACAACTTGATGTCCACGACTTCAGTCTATCCATTTATGGGCTGATGGTTGGACTAGATGATCTTAGTGGTCTTTTCCAACCTTAATGATTTTACGAATCTAAGACTTACGGATACGTCCCTCAACCAGTCAGCCTTCTCAGTGTTTTCCTCATTATTAGATGTAACAGTTGGATCTTTCAGATGTTTCTGTAACAGCTAAGATCACTTCTTATGTTAGCTCAAGCCTGAAATTTTTGGTTCTTAATTGTTACTTCTATTTGAGAAATTTCAATTCAGGCTTCGGAAAAAAAGTCACTTCGAGATTTTGATGCTGAGATAAAATATATTGGTGTACGATATAGTATTTTAACTGCAATATTTTATAACCATGAATGGTAGCTTCTAGGTTAATTCAAGGATATTTTGAATTGTAACAAAACAGATATAGCAACCGTAAGATGTAAAAAAAAAAAAAAAAAAAAAAAATAGGAGAGAGAGAAGAGGGAAGGATGAAGAAAACAGTCACTCCTTGCAGAAAACAAAGTGCACAGCATGACTGTAAACACTTTCCAGAATGCTTCATTATGGCACAGTTTGGGACATTCTGATGTAAATACCAATTATAACAACTTGTGGTCTGAGGCTGAACCCAGTCCAGTGGAAAAGTCTGCCTTGCTCATCACTTTTTCCCCATGGGAGACAGGAAACTCATAGGTACAACTGTCAGCTGGCAATTTAAAAAATCCAACAGGTTCTTAATTTCTTTCTTTGGCCCCTCAGTCTCACTGCAAACATAAACAAATGGGGACACATGCAAACTACAGCCCTGATTCAGGTTATATATCAGCAAAATGCTCTTCATCAGAGGGTGGTGGGCATGAAACAGACTCGTCAGAGCAGTGGGCACAGTCCCAGGCTGCTGGTGTTCAAGGATTATCTGGACAACGCTCCCAGACATATGGTCCTGTGTGGAGCCAGGAGTTGGACTTGATGATCTGTATGGGTCCCTTCTAATTCAGTGTATTTTATGATTCTATGATAATTTTCAAGCAGAGAGCCGTCCCTCAGGTTCAGAGCTGTGTTTTCTCTTCTTCCAGACGTTCTCACCTCACTGCTTAAACAGATCTGCTCCCTGCATTCAGGTCAAGGCTTGATCTACAGAAAAGTATCAGTTTTCCATTGGCTTTCACTTGTTTTACAGGAAAGAGCAGTTCAGAATTTGATGCTCAAGTGACAGAGAAGCCCCTTAAGCTGGGTTGGAGACCCATGAGAAGAAGCAGCCAAGGGCAGGAAACACTGTCATTCATACCCAGCAGTGGAAGAACTGGAGACCAGGAGCATGGACTGCATGCACTATGAAGACTTTGGAGCAAGCTGAAGAGTAGGGCAAAGAACACTGGTAAGATTTGAAAGAATACTACACAGGCATGGGAGAGACAGAGTGTTTGGGGGTTTTAATTAACAATAAAAGGCAAACTTGCCTTTTTGCAGGTTGAGAGAGATGCATGTGTTTAAAGGGAAGTTACAATGAAAATGAAAATGTTCCTGGCTTGAACCACTTAAAGACATGTTCCAAAAGAGATAAACACCTACAGCGGTTAAATTATTGTGTGTCATTTAGGAGTAAAGTATTGAAAATGTAAAAGAAGCACTGGAATATCTTCTCTATCCCGGACCAAAACAGCAAAACAGACCTTTTAGTGAGCAGCTGTGGCTAGAAATAGCACAGTACCTACTCTCATAGCAGAAATACACCATCTTTATCTTACAGAGTAGTTGGAGAATAAGAAGAGGACAAACAAAGCCCATACTTCAGACATTTCCAAAAAAGTTCTGCTTCATACATAACAACAATCCCTGTGACCTTAAGGTAAAATGGAGTTTTGCTTGATTTATGGGCTTCCTAGTCCCTATGAAATTACCAGGTAAAACAGCTAGAAGTAGAATGTCCAGATGCCTCTCTACAGAGGTCATGCAGCTTCCACAGAATCATGCAATTACAGAATGGCTTTTGCTGGAATGGAACTTTCTTTACAAGGAGAGTAGTTAGGCCCTGGAACGGGCTGCCCAGGGAGGTTGTGGATGCCCCGTCCTTGGACGTGTTCAAGCCAGGTTGGACGGGGTCCTGGGCAACCTGATCTGAATGTGTATGTTTGGTGGCCCTGCTAGGCAGGGGGGTTGGAACTACATGATCCTTGAGGTCCCTTCCAACCCGGGTGATTCTGTGAACTCAAAGTTTACCCAGCTCCAACCCCATGCTGTGGGCTAGTTGCCAACCAGCAGCTCAGGCTGCCCAGGGCTCCATCCAACCTGGCATTGAGCACCTCCAGGGATGGGACATTCAAAACCTATCTGGACTACCTGTTCCAATACCTTGCCACCCTCTCGGTGGCAAAAAAACATCCCCCTGCCATCATATTTAAACCTCATCTCTAAATTTTAAAACTCTACCTCCTTGTCCAATCATTACCTACCCTTTCACTGCAGCTATGTGGTGTTCAGCATTCTTCTTTGTGGTGCTGCTTCTATTGATGTCCAATTTGAAACAATGCCTTACTTTGAAACAATAATAGAATATATTTTGTAGGCTAGAGCTGATTCACAATAGTCTACACGAAATGTTTTTTATTTCATTGGGTGATGAATAGCTTTACTCTGCTCAGTAATATATTTTGGTGAAAATACATTCCAACACTCAGTCACAGCTTGCCTGAGCTTTTTTTTTTTTTTAATTTTTTTTTTAAATTTTATTTTATTGAAGAGCACCCCATGCAAAAAGTCATTTAGGACTGTAACAGATGTATTGCTTTATTTAGGCAAAAACAGTGTTGTTATCTGTCATCTTGAAGCTGATGTGAAAGCTCTGAATGGAGCCTTGGTATTATCTGTTTGACAATGATTTGATGCAATACTACACTGATATAAATTAGTGTCAAGAACAAAAAGGCTAATGATAGGGGCTCCTCTCTACACTGTTGATTTAAATAACATCTTTCTTTAAAACTCAACAGTGACTCACTCTCTCTTAAATAAAACCCCACTGTGCTATTTAAATAATACCATGTAGCTCTACTGCATATTTCCTTTGATTCTGAGTACTTCAGTGTTTACTTGAAAAACCTATCAAAACAAGATTGTGAACACTGTACTGAATAATACCATGAAACATATTACTGTGTGCAATTTTTTAAAAATATTCTATTTTTTATTGTTCTACTTTCTCATGCTCTACAGTGAGCAGAGGTGAGGCTGAAAGTGGTTTTCTGTTTGTTTGTTTGTTTGTTTTTTTGTTCTTGGAGATGATATCAGATACAGGTAAATTCCTGAGCAGCATTTTAAATTTCTTCAGTATGTTCTAGGACTCTGTTTCATTTTCTTTCATGCAACTAAAGAGACACTGATTAGAGAATTTCTCATAATTGATGGAATCAGCTTGATGTTGGATTCCCAAACCCTTCAGGCACATACTGGCTAAGCACTGTTAAGTTCATAGGCACCATCACAGTTTAACTGGCTTAGGCATTTTGCTGCAGCTTTAAGTGTTGATGAGTAATGCTGGCAGCATGAAAGCTTTTCTCCTAGTGTCAGATAAAACACTCTAGTTTTTTCACATCTGGGTAAATATGCCAGTATATCAGCTTTGTGCTGCTTTCTTCATTCTTACACAAATGCATCTGATGCTCTCAATGCTATTTTCAATGCTACTGAAAAAGAAGTCACTATCAATAATCTATTATGTTTTACTAATACATCTCTACTGCAGGTATATTCTACACATAGAGACAAAGAAATGAAACAGAGTCCTCAAAAAGAAGAAAATATATCTTGTCTGTAAGACACTCCATACTCTTCAGAATAAAAAAAAATATTTTAGAGCAATTTTTTTTTTTTTTTTTTTTTTTTTTTAACTGAGCCATAACACACGACAACAAATCTTTCCCAAGTCCAAGATCCATTATCTGTAATTTCTCCTTGCCAGGAAAAATATTGTGAGATGGCAAGTGAGTTCTGAAACCAAAATGAGGGCAGATAAGAATGATCTAAAAGAGAAAGAATGTTATCCTGTTGAGGACACTATGAAGAATGCCTCTTTTACAGCCCAGAAGTGGTTGCAGGTCTCCTAGCTTCAACATTTCAGGTCACACAAACAGACAGAGTTTGTAGAGAGGTACATTTCAGGTAACCATCACATAAGCTGATACAGGATTTATTATTTTGAAACATCATCTTACTCTTCACCTGAAAATGAACTGAAAGATAATGCTATTTACAGATATAAGATACCTGGTAAAAAACCCATCAATTTATGTATCAATTAAAAATCACTGAAAGAGAATCACGAGAAATAAACTGGCAGAAACAAATAATCATTTTGACATAACCTGCCCTCTGTTTTTTATTACTAAAATTCTCCCTTGAATCAAAACTTTGGATCATAGAGAAATTGAACTACAAATTGCCACTGTTCCATGTAAACTTCAGTGTGAATAACGACACATCAAGAAATACTCATATTATCAATCATGAAATCCATATGTTTCAGTGAGGAGGGAAATACGACTGTCACTTCTGGGCGAGGCATGCAGAGCTGAGGAATGATAAGATTTCTTTTCTGCATTTATACAGGCAGAATTCCATGTTTATGCTAATAATTAAATAACCCAAAATCACCCTCATCACCAACATATCAAAAGTGTAAGAGATCAAAAGATGTAAATGAACCACTGACTTGGATGCGCTCCTGCACAGTCTGTCTATGAGTCTGGACTGTATTTCCACTTTATAGTTTTCCTTTCCCCTTGGTGTTCACTGACTGTAATTTTTATATAATGAACATACAAGCTGTCATCATGATCAACTGAATTCAGGTATTTTTGTGGGAAGAAACAAAGAAATAGCTCACAAGGAGGTATCTGGTTGATGGCAGGAAGAGTAGCAATCGTGGGGCCTATGAGCAACTGACTTTTAGGAAGATGAATAGAGAAAAAGATATCAAGATAGGTAAAGAAGAGAAGATAGATAAGGACAAGGAGAAAGAAGGCAGGGAGAGATAACAGAAGAAAGGAAAATCAGGTAATAGAAAAGACATAACAGAAGAATCACAAGACAAATCCTCAGATGCCTGAGTGGCCACTCGTGATGCCACATGTGTTGGCTACTCCACCTTGATTTTGTAGCATTAGCAGCCACTCAGTTACCCTCCTGCTGTGACTAGAGAAAAAATACAGTGACTGTGCAATTCATTCAAGTGAAAGAACTTGCAAATGAGTGCATTAAGGACAAGGTAATTAGTAATATTTCTTGTTCTTGCTTTCTCCCTGCTAAGATCTTACTTCCCTCCCTGCAAGAAGTGGACAGTTTACACAGCCAATACTTCCATCTCTGAGATTGTTTGTCCATTGCGCTGTGTCCCGCTTTTGCACAACATTTTGACTAAATCAGACCTGTAGCTGTTGTAGATGTGGGAAAGAGGACTTCTCCTCTCCCAGCGGTGAGGCAAAGGGAATTAATATATCTCCCTCTGTCCTTTCATTATTAGCATTATCACTGAACCTTGGAAAAACACAGTAACTTCCCCACACTCACACATTAGCAGACTTTACCTAAGTGTTTCACCAGATGATCCCCTTCTTTTCCACAGGTTCACCAGGCTGCTTGAGCGGCTTGCAGCCGAAGATGACTTCCCATCCCCTACGTGCATGCGGACCACAGTCGATGTGGTGAATGCGCTGCGTACATTCCTTTCAGGCTTAGCAAGGATGATGTAGACCTTGGGCACAAACATACAACCAAGGGCCACCGTGGCACTCAGACTCACTGAGAAACACATGGTGATTATCTTGTAGTTGCTTCCAAAATATATTGGCACAAAAGCCAGCCAAATGATGCAGGTGGTATACATTGTAAAGGCAATATACTTTGCTTCATTGAAATTAGCTGGGACATTTCTTGTCTTAAATGCATAAAAGGTGCAACTCAAAATTAATAATCCATTGTATCCAAGGGGGGTTACAACACCCAAGTTGGTGGTGTTACAAATCAAGTAGACCTCTCGGATGCTTGGGTAATCATGCATTATATCAGGTGGCTCCATTATAAAGAGGGCAACAATTATGCCTAATTGTATACATATCAAGATAAATGCAATAACAAGTTGGGCACAGGCACTCATGAATCTAGGTTTCTTTGTACAAATTTTCTTCTTGCTGCCAGCCAGGATTCTTGCAATGCGGTTGGTTTTAGTTACTAAAGCAGAATAACTCATAGCTGGGGAGAGACCGATGCCAATTCGTTGAAGATAGCAGTAAATCTGTTGAGGTTTTGCGATGAGACAGAAAGTGCACAAGTAACCCAAGCAGATGCCAGCTAGAATGATGTAACAAAGTTCTCGGCTGGAAGATTTGACCACTGGAGTATCACGATACATTATGAATATAGCTGTAACAAACAAGGTTGCCAGCAGACCCAGGCACGCAAAAACAACTGCTGCAATTGGTTCAGGATCACCCCATCTGAGATACTGGACTGGGATGAGGTCACAACCTACAGGGAACAACAACAACAAAAAAAAGTAAGTTGAAGTATGTAGGAATTACATTCTTTAATGATAATTTCATAGATTTTTCTCTTTCATGAAGTTGCTGTTACCATCAATGTAGGCTAGTATTATTGGTATAATGGCATACTAAATATTTTTCAGGGACAGCTTATCTCAATAACAGTTTATCTGTTTGGAGTGTAACAATCTAACACTATGACTGAAAAAATGTTCAAACGCATTAAGAAGTCACCTTGCATCACAGTGAAATTTACCCTTTATTATTATTATTATTTTTTAATTTAGTAATTTAAGGAAAAATTTCATAATCAAGTTGCATTGCCTTGATGTGAAATGCTCAAAAGTTGTCTGTCCTTTAAGGAGCAGGCATCAATGATATACTAACATACACTAATTATGAAGTATATTGGTACTTAATGACTATGCAGATACTCTAGCCATCAAGGAAAAAAAAGTACTTCTTCCTCATACAGAATAATTTTTTTCCAGCAAGACTTTTCTGGGGTTAATGATGCAGATTATATGTACTTTGGGATGTCCCACAGTACTCATTTCCATATCTGTCATTCACACTTTTAAGATGTTTGAGGAATTAATCTCTCATCTAGTTCACAAAATCAAACTAATAACAATAAATTAGAGTCAAAGCTGAATTAAACACGTGCAGCCCCTTCAAAGGATGTTAGTTTTTTCAGTTTATGTATGGGTTTAATAAGTTATGCTTTGTACCCATCTGTTAATGGTTTATGGGCTGGTTCTGCCCAGCTCTGTGACTAGCGGGGCAAAGGGACCCAGGGAACCACTCCTAGGGAAGGGAAAAAGGAAAAAAAAGAAAAGAGAGAGGGGCCTGAAAACAAAAAAGCGGCAATGATTTGAGGATAAACAAACTAATTTACTAAATAAGGTATCAAAATGCAAGATAACTCACTATAATACAAAACAATACAATATAATTAGAGTTGAAGCTAATAAATCAAATAAACGAGAGTATCTGAAAGCCAAAGGTTTTTCGTTCCACAGAGTGCTTGACTAACTAGTTAGCTTGACTAATCTTTATTACAAATAAAAAATGACCTCAAAATTTAGGACTGTTGGAATCAAATTGCTTTTTGGCTGGGCCAGACATAAAAATGTCAGCCTGCCTCAGGGTACAGGGTGGCAAAAGAATTTTACCCCTTATGGATGGAGTGCTGGGTATTCACAGCTGTATTTTCAGTAATAAGGGCAATTTAGACAAGACACTGTTTGATGAGGACCTGGATGCTGAGCAATTCAAATTAGTAAAGGAGCCTGGGATCCCAATATCTTGATGATCAGTGGGAAAAGCAGGCATCTGTTTTTTGTGGAAATTCTACATGTAAGATGTTTAGTCTTTTCCTTTATTTTCAGTGGAGCTTAAGTATTTTGAAATATCTCATTGACATTCTTAATAACAAAAAACCTTTCCATGCTAATAATCTTGGTTAATATTAGATTTAGATCCCTTCTCCTCCCAGTATTTCTATATTATGTATTTCTAAACAATACTGTAAAAAAATACATAAGTATCTACAATATGATATTATAATAAATATGTTGTCTAGCAAAAGTATGAGGCAGATAGTTGTGTATTCCTGCAGAAAAATCAGCAGAATTAGGGTAACAAAATGTTTTACATATCCGCAGTTAAAGGATACATCGCTTTGGAGTAACAGAGTTTTGCCCTTGATAATTAAACAAAGATTAATTGGCCATTTGTATTTTAACTGCTTTGGTATGATAAGCTTTCTGTTGCAATAATAAAATTATTGCCATGTCTTAACGTAACAAAGACATTTAGATCTTCACAAAATACTCACGTGAGCATTAATTAACTCCTTTTGGTTTTAAAGGGTTTTCTTATTCAGACTGAGGGAGACAAGGTATTTCATTCTGACTTCATCAAGATTAATGTAGCATGCAAATGACATCATTAAAATCATTCTATACCACTAAGAGTGGCAGAAGAAGGGTGAATAGCAGAAAGCACTCTCCGGGGTAAGCAGATATCCCTCCCGACATGAGTTCTTCCCAAAGAAGTTTTCTGGGCTTGTTTAGCTTGGAAAAGAGAAGGAGCTGGGGAGGCCTCGTTGCATCCTTCCAGTACTTGAAGGGAGCTTACACACATGAGGGGTTACCGACTTTTTACACAGTCTGGTATCAATAGTACAAGGGGGAATAGCTTTAAACTAAAAGAGGGCAGATTAACATTAACAGAGTCAGGAATAAATTTTTTACTCAGGGCATGGTGAGGCCCTGACACAGGCTGCCCAGAGAAGCCGTGAATGCTTCATCCCTGAGGTGCTCAAGGCCAGGTTGGATGGGATCTTGGGCAGCCTGAGCTGGTGGGGGGCAACCTGCCCATGGCAGGGGGGTTGGAACTGGGTGGGCTTTAAGGTCCCCTCCAACCCACGCCGTTCTATGATTCTATGATTTCATCAAATGTAATGAATATTTTGGAGAAACCATTTGTTACCAGCCTCTATTACTTCTGCATCTTGGACTGGAATTTTCTGATGTTCTTACCTGACTGCTAGCCTTTATCTGCAGACAATGATATAGAGGCTGATCGGTGCACAGTTTCTAACATTACAACAGAGGCCAAACATTTCTTGCTGGTTTAAAACTATTTCATGCCTTTCTTGCTTTATTACCCTTTTACATTCTCTTAATAAAATACCTGAGAAAAGAGTTGAAACTTGTGCCATTTTTATTCTCTGTAACTGAGTGTACTTTGCAAGGGGAATGCTAAGCTGTGCAATTATTTATTCTTCAATTAAGATTTAAGGACTGGATATTCTTCATAAAGCAAATGATTGGTGAGGCTTTCATTTCACAGTTTTGCAGATAATGGTTTCTGACAATGACACTTTGCAGAAAGAGATGATCAAATCAAGTAAAAGAAATATGGGAAAATGGCACAGTCACTGTACAGTCAGTTTGATGGCTATTATTATACCAAGGCAAATGCTGAAAATTCTAATAAAAGAATATTTCCCATCCCATAAATAACTGTGTGCTCAATGGTGATTTGGACAAAATCCCATCCCGTCTTACACTTCATCAACATCTTCAAGCACCTGGAAAGTCTTCTCTCCTCACAGGCTCAGAAACTCCAACTGAAATAGAGTCAGAAGGCCCAATCCTGTCTTCCCTGCAGTGGGCTGAGGCAATCTTTGTCTGGTGGAAAGGCTGTTAGGAGCAATGCCAGTGTCCAATCTGGAGCAGGTATAGAGTTGTACTCTGTGCTCAAAAGTGTGCTGCTTCTGGGACCAGTAAAATTGACATAAAACAATCTCTATGTTTCTCTGGCCAGAGACATAAACTGTGGGAGCTAAGTACTAAATATACGTGTAAATAGCAAGACAGATATAAAATATCAGAGTCCCATTCAACATGCCAGGGAAGAGATTTCTGTGAGGAGCACTAAAAAAAAAATATCACCAACAAATTACAGATGAGGGTATCTGAGGATTTCCTGGGATAGAAAATAGATCTGATATTCTGTAATATCCACCTCTCTAAGGATGGGCTAAATGGTTCTACAAATGAGATGAGAGCTCTTGAAGATTTGACCCTTGCCACGGGTCTATGAGTAGCCTCTGCTCCCTCTCCTGAAGTAAACTTGCCACTTCTGATCTTTCATATTGCTTTAAAATTAGTTAGTCTGGATAAGAGTTCACAGATATGAAGCATTCTGTTATCATTCTTATTTTCAGGGGATTTAATCATGACACTGTCTTAATTTGTTATTACAGCCTTGGTGCCTAAGAGAGCTTACTATACCTTCATTATCTGTAAAACTGAAAATCTCCTTCATGACAGGCAATATGGAACACATAATTAAACTAGCTCCAAAGGTAAACATGACAGATTAAGGGTTGTAAATAGGATGCAGTCAGCAAAGTGAAGGGAATTCAGGGAAATCCCGTAAGTCAACATCATGAACAGAAGTTCATTATCGGTCCGTATGAAGAGTAAAACTGACAGAAAGTCACTGCTGTTTTTGTAAATTCTAAATATTTTTGTGGAGTGAGGCAGTTAGGCACCCCTTAAAAAAAGATGTACTTTTCATCTTTTTTTTTTTTTTTAATCTCTGTCATAGATAGCAGTTCAATTGTCATGTCTAAACAACAATCTACTGACTTAGAATCATAGACTTGTATGAGTTGTAAGAGACCTTTAAAGGTCATCTAGTCCAACTCTACTGAAAAGAACAGGAACATCTACAGCTAGATAAGGTTTCTCCAAACCCTGTCCTGCCTGACCTTGAGTGTCTACAGGGACAAGGCACCCACCATCATCTCTCTGGGCAACCTGCTGCAATTCACAACTACTTAGTTGTGAAAGAGAATCTCAACATGGGACTTACCACACATGATTGAATGTGTATTGCTGCCATGTTGTTAGATATTCTATATGAATATTCCTGAGTTTCCCCTGTGCCATAATTTCAAGAAATGGTAGAAGGGAAATCTTGATTAATGATCCAGGTTTTCACATACGGAGAGCTGAGAGACAGGAATTGATTCAGAACCAAAATCCTAGTGAATCTGGCAGGAAAATCTTCATAATATTGTTTTTTTTTTTTTTTTTTTTTTTTGAAGAGGGGAAAGAAAACCCAAACTGTTGCCTGAACTGTCAAGACAAGCGTGAGAAATACACTATTCAAAGTCCTGGGTGAAAATCAGCCCTGCTGATGTCCATGTGGAATATGTGCCTTTGAAATGAGAGAGCACATCTGTAACATTTCAGTACTAAGGTCTGGTACCTTTCAATGTGGTAATCTGAACTATTAATATCAACAGTTCTTTCTCTTGTTCCAGGGAAATCTTTCATAGTCACAGCAATAGGAAGGCATGTGGAAGCAACCACCTGTTTAATTATCATCTGCAGCAACTTCCAGGCTGGCACATTTACTGAAACCATCCACGAGGGTGGGTTTGCACTGATAATGGGCACAGCT